CACTCACGCGCCCGGGGGCGGCAACGGGGCCGTCGCTGCGTCTCTCCCGTTCGAAAACTGAAAGGGGGGCGGGGGAGGGAAAGACCTGGCTCCTCGTCTCATCCGGAAACCGACGGGTCGGCAGGAAATGACGAAGGCAGAGGTCTTCCAGGTCCGTGCGGTAACCGGTTCCCGCGAATCCGGCGCGGACTCCGGGGGAAAGGGCCCCAAGTGGAGCAGCGCGGTCGTCTGCCGCCTCCGGAGCGAGCAGCGTGAGTGGACCCGCGTCCCTGCGCCTCCCGGGCTTCGATCTCGCGTCACCCGGCCCCGCCTTCCGCCCGCGCGCCGCCCCGCCCCAGACTCGCGGGGAGGGGAGTTGAGGGGGCGGGGGGTGCCGCCCGCCTGGCGCTCCCAGCCCGGGGCTTGGAGGCTCCTTCTCCCTGCTTCACTCTTGCTCGTAGTTTCTCAGGGACATAGGAAATAGTGAGGCTCCGAGTTCCAGAAACGCAGACGAAAAAGTCGAAGCAGCCACATCTGCCGCGTGAACTCGGAGCGGGCGCGGCGGCCACGGGGCGGATGGGATTTAGCAGGAGTGTAAGATTGAATCACTCGCTGGCAACCTGCAGTGGCGGAAACGCATAAGATCTCTTGGCCGCTCTGGAGGCTCTTGCCTGCGGCCACTTCCGAGGAAAGGATTATATTTCATACCCACTTGACTGGATTTCTTTCTGGGAGGAGCAGGTCTCACAAGATTGGGGTCAGGGTTGGAAGAGTTAAGGTTTAGGAGTCACATGCATGTGACAGCCCTACTCCTGCATTCTCTAGACTGTGTGACCATCACCACCTTACCAGTCGTTTCTGTAAAATGGAGCTTCCCAGGCAGGGAGGTTGTGAAGATTAAATAAATATGTGGACTTCCCAGCACTTAAACCCTCACACGATAGTTGCCTTACTCCTGTTGGTTCCTTCCTCCTGAAGGCCTATTAGATTGTACCTTTCTGCGTCAGGAACCCAAACCTTTAGTGTTTCAGAGGACCGAGAGAAAGAAAATCACATTTATGCAGTGGGTTGTATTATTAAGGAGCTCTTGGCCCTGTATAAGTGATTATCTGAATTTGCATCAAAATAACAAAATTCTAAATGAGACATTTAATATTCAAGACAAGATGGCAAGAGATAATTTTAGAGCCACTTAAACATGGTATCAAGAACCCAAAATCAGGAAACTTGATCCCTAGAAAAGTTCTAGTTTTCAACCTAAACGTTTATCAGACTAAAACCAAATCCTAGTTATCATATTTTGGCAACTTTATCTCTGGATACTAATATTTCCCTGAGACTTAATTCAGCACATCGTAGCATCTCACTGAAGTTTTTCAAACATTACTATACAGGAAAAATATGTGAAAAAAAAAGTTCAGTTTTCTCAAATGACCCTTTTGAGAAATTGATGAATCACTATCCAAGCACATGACTAGCTACATTAGTGATCTTACTGAAACATTAACTTGCCTGGAATGAAACATTGTAATGCCCCTGGGCCTTTTGCTTTAGAGTCAGGAGGAAGGCTGTGGTGGTGTGCAGTAACCACTCAGCACGTGTGCGTACACTTTGTTAGACTGTGGCATGCTGGAAGGGGATGGTCACAGTTCAGGCCACGTGTGAGCTATAGATCTGTACTGTGACTTTGGACAAGACCACTCCTTATCCTGTCAGTCTTACAAAGTCATTCTATTGGTCATGATGGAGGACAGGGTAGGAAAGGCCTACCCTCAGTGTAATTCTTTCACAACACTACTAAAAATAACTCCAGGGCATGTCCCTAGAACTGTAGAACAGTAGTAGTGTCAATGCGTACCAATGATGTTGTGTAATGTATGTTATATAAGTCACATTAAAATTTTACCATTCCGGGTCAGCAGTAATTTGAAATCCTCTGTACTTAAAGACTGGTATATTTGTAGCAAGGAGGAAGACAAGTTCTGTAGGAATACACCATTTATTGAGTGGCACATGAACAGAAAATTTATGAAAAATTGAAGCCAGAAATTAACTTGGCTCACATCCAATTGATTGTTAGAAAACAGGCAGGAAACACTTCCATAATTTGTCAAATAAATGACACCTGCAAAATGTTCTAGTGGCCATTGCTGTTATGTTTCTTGTTTCTTCCCTATTTTGTTAATAACTCCCAATCCTGAAAGCTGCCACCCTTGCTCCAAAATTGTCCAGGGCCTTCTGTAGCATCTCAAATTAGACATCTAAAGTCATCTCTTTTTGCCAGATACAGTTGTTATTTTACATTTTGGCACCAAGAAAATTCTATATTCCATAAATCATAAAGACAATTATTAGTGTCTGGTCTTTCTAAAGTTTCCATTCTATAGTAGGGTGATGAGTTACTGTAAATCAATGTTATATTCAGAGAAACTCTGGCATTCAGTTTTAAGGAATGTGAATTGAAATTTTGCACATGCCAAATTCCCCTGTGCCACTTTCTTAGAAAAAATTCACAGCCAGACTTTAATATATGGGAGTTGGGTATTGTCTAATGTTTAAATCATATTTAGCTTTTGTATCTATAAATTTTTATAATTTAAAGTACGTTCTGTTTTATTTTCATAATTTAAAGTAAGTTCTAATTTTTACAAGACCAATCTTTATATTTATCAGACATCAATAGATGTTTTAGAGAAATTATTCTTGCCTCCAGTGTCTAGAGTTTAAGTTAAATGGCCATTCATGATATTCACTTTATTGGTAATGAGTACAGTGTGTCACCAAATAGTCTGACAAAGACATCAGATGTCAGAAAGAGGCAGCAGGCCTCTGGGGATATTTCATTTATTCTATGCAGAGGCAAGCTATGTGAAAGAAAACACTCTGTCCTTAATACACAATTGTTAACTTTCTGAGCAAAATCTACATTTAAAGAACATTTTAGAGGCTTACAGGCAGACTGCAAGATATTTCGGTGGAAGAATTTCTGCAATGTCTTCATTGTTGTAGAATGTCTAAAAAAAATGCAAAACAGTTTCTTGGACATTTCAAATACTCTTTCTTGGTATTAAAAAATGGCGGTCTTATTCTTAGAAACTACAGTACAGTTATCACATCATTTGTTCAGTTTTTCTCCTTTTTATAGAACCTCTAACACTTCTGGATTTCTTTTACATATTAGGTCATTTTACTTAGACTTACCTTTTATGTCCAATACAAGGGAGGAACTTTCTGTTTAAGGAAAAATTCAGTTACTTTCACAAACAAATAAGAAACCATTACTCTTTTACTTGCTATTTGATACACTTGCTATTATCACTCTTATTTTTCTGTGGGAATGTCCAAAGAATGCATTTCCTTGAATAAAAAAGTCACAGCTGTGTAAATAGCAAAAAGTAACTTTTTATCCATTAAGTTACTTCTTTCAACCACATTTTGCCAGTAGGCCAAAACTAGATAAAGCTCCAAAGGTTTTCCAGTTGCAGAGGGAGGCGTGTGGGAAAGCATTGTTATGGCTTTCACATCTTTTCTAGGCTGCTGTCACGAGTGCAACGCTATTCTCAGCATCATAGTCAGTTGTTTAGGTCTGTGTTTCAGAGTATTCAGTTGCTTTAATCTGGGTGATAGTTACATTTTAGAAACTATGTCTGACATTTCAACCTGGATCCTTTTAGTAATGTGATTTTTTAATCCCAAATTTTAACCTTTTGTAGGAACCGTAATGTTTCAAGGTTTGAAAATAAAGGAAAATATGTTACATTCATGTCTTAGTTAGCTTGACCAGCGGTTGGCCAACTTTTCCCAAAGGACTCGATTGTAAATATTTTGGGCTTTGAGGGCTATGAGGCAAAAATCAGGAATATTATATAGGTACTTTTAACCATTTAAAATGTATCTGTTTAGAAATATAAAATTATTCTTGGCTCCTGGGCCATATAGAAACAGGTGGTGGGCTGGAGTGGGTCAGCAAGCCATATATTTGCCAGACCTTCTCCACAGTCATACCATCACTCACTAAAAGAAACCCTGCTCTCTTTTCTCTCTTATAGCCCCATGCCTGGGGGTTACGGAGTGATGGGTGATGATGGCTCTATTGATTACAGCGTACATGAGGCCTGGAACGAAGCCACCAACGTTTACTTGGTAGTGATCCTCGTTAGCTTTGGTCTCTTCATGTATGCCAAGAGGTAAATCTTTGAGTATCTCAGGGTAGATAAGAAACTGGGCATTTAAAAGCTTGGTGGGTGGGTAGGTGGGTTGGTTGGTTTTATATGAATTAAATGCACAAAAACAATTGTATCAGCATTTGTTCCTGCTATGAAAGCACCATTTACTCAGGTTTGTCCTGGAGCACTGGACACCAAGGTTTGGCTTTGAAAACTCTGTTTATTTGAAAGAGGGACATTTAAGTGCAGCTCTTGGCACCCAGACCAGCTGCTCTGTACTCCCATTTTATCATTTCTAATACAGCCTATCATCCAGGCTGTATTCACTGGCACCCTTGGATGATCATGTTTTTTTGGCTCACGTCCCTGAAATGCAGAAACACTAATGCCTTTGTGTTGAGCCATTCTGTCTTCGCACATTTTAAGCTTTCTCTTCTGTTTCTTGTGCATGACTATATCATACCACTTTTTGAACAATATTGGTATTATCTGATTGCTTGTCTGTTCCACAAAAACTTCAGTCCCTTGAAAACAAGTACCTTTAACTTTTGTGTCCCTGGTGTGCTACATGGTGTAAATCTTCAATAAATATTTCCTACTTTAATTCTAGACGTTGTAGTATAATTTAACTTTTTTTCTCATTCTTGCTGTCTCCTTTACAGTTTTAAAAAAAGGAAGGGGTCTTTGAAAATCAAAAGCAGTATTAGTTGGACTGAGTTGCTTCTTATAGCTACATGCTTCATGATGTCACCTACCAAAGTGAAAAAGGCATTAGATCGTTGAAAATAATTAGTAATCCAAAAATAATTGATGGTCAGCCTAGGGAGTACTGTTCAGAGCCTACACTTGCTCTCAGACACTGCAGTCTCCCCCCTTTTAACCCCTAGAGCAGCTGGCTCATTGAGCACTTGGCTCTAGAGGGTGGGTGAGAGAAGGCTCCACTTACCACTGGTCCACTTGCAGGAAACAGCTTTCCTCTAAAAATAGCCACTGCCTCCCCACCCCACTCCTCTGTTTTAAAAAGCAGAGGCACACTGCTGTTAATTTTAAATAGGTGGCACCACTAAGACCATTGTATTTAAGAAATATATTTATTCATTGTTTTCCAAAATGAAGGTCTGCTCACATTCTCTTTATTGGTGAATCCAGACATTTAGTTTTATTTGGATGACATGAGAAAAAGGGGGAAAATCAGATGTTTTCTTGTTGCAGTTTTCTATGCGTTTT